GAAGGACACGAGCCTTTCCTTCCTGCCTGCTTTGGAAAGGTCAGGCTCAGCTTGTACAAAGACAACATTTTCCCAGGGGAATCACCAGTCAGTACAAGGCAGAGTTTTGCTTTTCATTCGTATTGTCATTTATAATAAGGTAACTCCTAAAAATCGAGATTTGCCAGTAATGCAACAGACTCTTTCCAACGAGGATGCCAAGACGAGCATGGCTGGGTTGGGAAGAGGCCCTTGCGCCAGGCTGTTAGCAGCGAGCCCACGTGGTGCACGCACCCCATCCCGGCAGTGAGCAAACCCCACGTCACCACGCAGCCTGTCCCCCCGCACGGTGGCACGCCGGTAACTCGGGGGAGGCATGCTCAGAAACACACAGACCTGGCAGGCTTTGCAGAACTGCCTTTTTGCGTATAACAGCTTATATTTCAGAAAAAGAAAATAGGTCTCCACTGCACTGCGTTTTTATCCAGAAAATTTTATTTTTTCTTGTGTTGTTGTTCCCCCACTCCCTTGCGCTGCTACACTGCCATGCATATTCATTTCACACGTGTCCATCTCCTGCTTCCAACCACAGAACACAGCCAGGGCTTCTTATGAGCCATTTTACACTACATAAAAACTGTCTTTGTGTAGAGTAAGGTATCAGCTAGCTCAGAGACCCCTGGGACTCGCCTTGGGACCCTTCCCAGGAATCTTAATGTTCTTGTACGTCCTCCCTGCTTTTCTTCATCTAAGCCTCAGACAAAACTTTCCCCAAAGTTAGTTGTTACTTGTTGCTTTTCTGAGACCTGTGGCAAAGGACACGGATTTGACCCAGCCATGCTCACCACAGCTTACGTGGTAACAACTCATTCTAAGCTTTACTTCACCAGCACGCACGAAGGCATTGTAGGGAACACATACAGCTTTGACCCCAGAGATGAGGAGCACGGTAACGGGGGTAATTTCAATAGTCTATGCTAACTTCACTTGCTTATTTCTATTTTTGCCCCCCAAATTTAAAATTTTATTTGTAGGACAATTTTTTCCCCACAGCTCACAAACATGGTGAGCTATTGCAATTTTCCACTCCCCCAGGTGCAAGGCAATAGCAGCAGAGGTCTCAAGCGCTCCATTACTCACCCGAGCCTTATGTCCCGTGCTCATTCCCGAAAGCGTCCTCACAGCTGCCAGGATCAGCTCAGCATTTTTGGTTTCTATCAGCTGCAGCAGTAAGCTGACCCCGTTGTTCCGGAAAATCCTCTCGGCACCTGCCTCCTCCCGCCCTAGGACTATCAGGTTGTTGGCAGCCTGGGTGGGAGACAGAGGAACCAGGGGTCAGCGGCACAGCAGCATCCAAAACACCTCCATGCAGCTCTGGGATGTGCGAGTGGGAGCTGCGGGGTGGCCATCTCCCAGCAGACACAGTGAAGCCGCTCTGACCCCACCGGACATTTTCTCCAGGTGCATCTGGGGATCGGCTTCGCTCTGCCCAAGCAAAGTGGGTCACTGCTTGGAGGGGAACACATAGAAGGTGCCAGAGATGGGCCTGAGCAGAAGTCCCGTCTGATCCCACCTCTGGTGTTTTTGGGGAGGTTGGCTCATCTTCCCTTGGCACAGGGTTGATGCCCCACTGGGACATTTCCCCTCTCGGTTGTCTGTCCGAGTGCGGTTCATCTTCCAGCTCCCTACCTCATCCTCCATCTGAGGAAGGTGGGGAAGGGAACACAGCTTTCTGCTCCTCGGGGCAGCCTCTGACATTAAACAACAACAGTTTACCCTGTCAAGCCCAGGACAGTTCTCACCTTTTCTCGCTTTTCTTTCTCGCTGTTCTCATCCAGCAGGATTTCAAACATCTTCTGCACCCTCAAGTCTGTGGAGAACTGAATGCGCAGCTGTGCCAACAGAGAGTGCATGGAGCATCAGAGGGAGAAAATCGTGGAGCAATTTTCATTTATCACTTCAAGGACGCCACAGACCGTCAAACCACAGAACAAAATAGGCATTGCTCTCAGCCATCCGCATCGATTACCCATCTCAGACTCGTGGGCACGGGCAGAGCCAGCCCTAAACCATAATTTCTGAGACCTCACGGCGTACCTAGCAAGGCAAGGACTTCTTCACAGCACCCCCATAAAAGTAACTAAGTCAATGTGGCAATTGCCAAACCCACTCCAAAGCTGGTCCAGTTCTTCACCAGAACCTCACCAAGACATTCAGGCTCAGGCCAGCCTCATGAGTGAGCTGCCACGCTTTTTAATTTAACCATTCAATCTGATCCTCAGATTTACATGCTTCAGGTATAAACTCCCAGGTAATGGAGCCTATTTATCCCCTACGTTGTTAGGAGTTTCCAGTACGACTGACAACCCACCAGTGTAACCCAGAGCACGGACTTCCCACGCCTGGTCTGTGAGCCTGGGACTGCTCACCCGGCATTTACCTTCTCCTGGATGTCAGCCCCCAGTCGCCTCAGGGTCTCCTGGAAGTTTTTGTTGCGGGGTTCGATGGTGGCACATTTCTGAGCATCTTTGAAGGCTTGGTCCAGTTTCCCCAATTTTTCCAGAGCTTGGCTGCGCCGGTACAAGGCTTTGATATCCGAAGAATTGATGTCAATAGCTGGGAAAGTGATCCAAAACACCAGGCATCAGAGTTTGCTTCTTGGAAATCCTCTGTGTGAACCGTGATTTGCTTTACAGCGAGACATAATTATTTACATTGTGAGTGAATTGGTACCTGATCAGCACCAATTGCACCACCACATCGAATCAGTGCATCTTCTTTTGAACCTCCTCTGTGAATTCCCATTGACCTCAGCACTTGGGAGTTAGTGGACATCAAGGCATAAGACCACAGTGCCCCAAAAGGAGATGCGAGAGCGGGCTGGAGCAAGCATCCCAGCCACGCAGCTCTCCTTTCTCAGCACAGCCCCCTCCTTACCTCTAGACGCGTCCGAGGCTGCCTTGGCGTATTCCTCCTGTTAAAGCAGAAAGGAGAGGCTTGTTGGCAGTGGAACAGCGGGGCACATCCCCGTTGCTGACGCACACTGCAACCTCTCTGTTCCCACTTACTAACAGAACCCCCCAGTGAAACCAGCAGCAGCCTGCAGAAGGAAAGATGGGGGTTTAGGTACCTTTTCATCACTGACGGGGGGAAGACGAAAAGCTCTGCGATGCTGGTGAGACAAAATACGCTGCGAAGGATGCAGCAGCAGGCTGTGGGCAGTGACAAGAGAGGGGATACTCCCAACAGGCTATCTGCAGCTCGTTCTGGGCTAGCATCACTTCTGGATTAGTGGAAATTCAGGAACATACAGGCAATCTGCTACAATCCCACAGCAAGTCGCTACGAGCAGACTGCAGGGAGCTGAGACCATTTTGGTACAGATACCAACAACTTTTTGTTTTGCTGAATATCTACACCTGCTTCTCTTGTACTGGGACAGACAGCAAGAGCGACGCCTCTACACCCCAACCCACAGCTTAGAGCCCTCCTGTAAGCGTGGAGCAGGCTGGATGCCAAAAGCTTTTGCTTCAACGCGATTAAGCAGGACCATCTCTGAGCTGAACCAGCGTGCTCAGCCCCATCAGGACTGAAGCAGGGAGGCAGGTTTACAGCTCCAGGGCAAGCCCAGAACAAATAATTTCAGACCAGTTTGCAAACACTCTATTCAATAAATGGACAAAACACACAGTCCACAGCTGGCGAGTGCCCTTGGCTGCCTCCTTGCTCTTCTCCCCTTGAGCACTGCCCAGGCAAGCCAGGGGCTTTTCTCACCTTTTTGAGGAAACACGCTGCCCGGTTCCGGTACAGCACCGCCTGCAGCGCCTTGTCCTTGTTGAGCTTTATGGCTTGAGTGTAGCTTTGCAGGGCTTTCTCATAGTCATTGGCCTGAAAATATTTATTGCCCTCCTCTTTCAGCTGGATGGGATCCTCCATCTGGAGAGCTTTAAGGAAAAACATCAATTTATGTCCCATTTTCAGCTGTCTGTGTCACTGGGGTTGCTGCCTACTTCACCAAGCTGAGCTTCACCATGAGACCCATGTATAATTAACACACACATTAATAAAAGCAGCTTACCAGGCTGAAGAGGCTGGAAAATGAAGACCTAAATTCCCCCTCAAGGCTGTGGCTTCTCAGAAGCTTTTCCCACGGCTGTAGATCCTTAGGAGTCAATCAATAAAAGAAAGAAAAACAACAAAGAGGGAGGGAAATAAAGAAATCCCCAGTGCCACGGAGGGTCCGTGTGGCTCAGGAAAGAGCTCGCCTCCCGCTCCAAGTTTGGGCAGGACCTGGCAGCTCCTGCTGCCTGTCAGCGTCACCTGTCAGCACAGGGCATGGGGAGCAGCAACGGGGGCGGCTTCATGCCAAAAAAGCCCACGGCTGGGATGGCTGACCCCCGTCGCAGTGCTCAGACCCTTTTCCCTTTCTATTTAGGGAAGCATGAGACAGCTGAGCCTCAGGGACAAGCGGCCCCATGCCAGCAGCTGCAGCAGCGCCCAGCACCTTCCAGAACACCCCGGGACGGACAGCCGACTCGTACCCAGCGCTGCCTCCTCCTCGCAGAGCCTTTGGGAGCCCACCCCGCTGGAAATCCCACCTCCCCTCGTTTGGCAGCCCACCGGCACAGACTGCACCGGAGCACGCCGGCCCACTGCTGTGATGAGTGTCTCAGGTCTCAGTTTGAGTGACACCAGTAGACTGCGCAGCAACGAGCTCCAGAAGAGCCGAGCCTTTCAAACCCCCCTGTTTCCCAGCGGTCACAGTCAATCGGGAATTCCGGTTTGCGACTTACCTCCCAAAAACGCAGGCCTTGCGTCCCCGAGTGCACCTGTGAGCATCCCAGCTAAAAGGCAAATGGGGGAACTGCCAGGAGGGATGGGGAAGTGACCGAGGGCAGCACAGGCTGACCAGTATCGGCTTGGTTGCTCCCATCAGGCTTACGCTGCAGAACTGAGCTATAGCAGGCAACGCACTTCCACGCTGAGACGCTGCTGAGAAAAAAAACGTTATCTTTAATACTGGTGATCTGTGTTGTGGTTTGTGGATCCTGCGCAGCAAGAATCAGCACAAGACTGCCCTGTTCAGGTCTCCTACTTTACTCACCCTGCACCAACAGCACTGCTCAGTCCCTGGTATCCCGGCAGGAGATGACTGCAAGGCAGTCTGGAGGTCCCTTCACATCACCTGCACTGCCCTCGCAGGGGTCTCAAACACCCTCACCTACCTGGGGACAGGTCCAAGGCACGAGGACTACACCTGCGGAGGAGGCCATCTCTGCCTTGGATAGACTCAGGCCAGCGGCTTTGCTAGGACTCACATGGACCAACATGCCAGAGGCCCCTTCCCACACTGCTTTAGGTATAGGGGAGGGGTCAGCTTGCTTCATTTCAGCACTCATGGTGTATATAGCACAGTCTCAAGTTATCCAGGATAAAGGATTCATCTTCACAAGCAGCAGTGCTGCAGCTACTTCAGGTAAACCAAGTTACAAAATAATACTGTGTTTGATGCTGCCAGTGTTCAAGACAGAGCAAAGAGCGACCCAAGCTCCCCTTGGTCTGCATTTTTGGGACGGGGTATCAGTGATTACACTGCACAGACAGGGAAAATCAGCGGCTGCCCAGGCCGGGGGTGCTGGCCCCGGGAGGTACCGTATCGCTGTGCCTTCCTGCAGCTGGAGCAGATGTGGGGATGCGCTCAGCAACAGCCCC